TGTTTGGATGAGAAATGGTCAGTATAGTTAGGGGCCTCTTCAGGCTTCCCATATTTTTGGTTATGTTAATGACCATGAGTGGTCACTGTCTTTATTGAGGACAGTTGCTGGAGCTGGTTCGTGTGTGTCCTGGGTCCAGCAAAGGTTTAAAGGAGGCTTGTATCTTATGACTGCAGATCTCAGAGCTTAGAGGTCCAGAACTAGCCCTTTTCTTCCATCAGTGAGGGGCAGAGAAACCCCTTCCTTGGAGAATGATCCCCTGAAAGGGTGGAGTGAAGTTTTGGAGGCTTCTGGAAGCTGCCAATGGAGACTGAAGAAGCTGCCTCCTGTGCCCAGGCCCACTTCATTGCTCTCTTCCCTTTCATCAACTCCAGGGTAAAGTCTGGTTACCGCAGGCTTGGGTTTAGCTGCAGGAGGCAGTGACTGAGAAGTGGATACAAGATTAAGAAATAGTGACAGCCCTGGGGGCATCCCGGACTCTGAGACCACCGGGCTGGCCAGCACAGAGGGAGAGAGTGGAGCTGGTGAGGGAGTGCTGAGGGGGTGGAGGAGAGGACTCTGAAGGCAGTCAAATGCATTTCCACCAGAATATTAACTGCGCCCGTCACTTCTCCCAGACTAGGAAAGACTATGCCCATAAATTTGGGCCTTGAGTCTGCCAGACAGAGACTTAATGAAGAAGAAGATGGACTTCAATCAGAGCAGGCAGTGCCTTTGGAGGTCACAAACCCAACTCCTGCCTAGGAAGAAGACCCTGAAGCCAGAGAGGGGCAGGGAGTGTCCAAGGTTGCGGAATCAGATTGGGCTCATGAAGGCAGCTGCTGACTTGGCTGTGACCACTACTAGATATACAGCACCCAGCAAGCACACTAGGATTTTTTAGTGCCTAAATAGTATGGCAAGTTGGGTGCTAAGCTCTGACTGAAAGCTCTGACTAAAATTCAGTCCGTTGGACTCTTGCTGGGCTTCACCCAGTTCCCTGCCCCTCGCCCTCCAGTTGTGAGGAGTATGGGTAGGGAAGAGGTGTCTCAAGGAAATGACAATTATGACTTTCTTTGTTTTGGGTTCCTAACTTGAAAAGAAGTGTCACCAAGTTTTACAGGTCATAGACCCCTGGAAGTCTAACATGCTTCTCAAAGTGTGTGTTTTTTCATGTCTACCACTTTCCTGACAGTCATCCGCCTTTCCTGGCCATCTCCTGTTCTCTACCACACCTACGTTCTAATTGTACATCCTGGAGGTGGTTCCTTCCCCCAGCACTTGCCGCTGCAGACCTCAGGCCTCTGTCCATCCTAGACTTCTAGAACCTTCCCAAGCACATCTCAGAGGGGCAAGCTGGCCACTCAGTGGAGTCTTGGCACTACTGCAGCAAGAACTGGAGTGGGTAGGTGGTATCAGGGTGCAAAGGCAGGGCCAGCTAGATCCCTCCATGCCACCTGCCCCTTTGGGCTTCCCCACAGGCCCTTTCCATGCTCCCACTGCTTGTCTGGCCTCACATGGGTACAGCTTAGGTCTCCAGTGCCCAGCATGAGGCCTGGTACCAAGAAAATAGGCAAAAGGGAGGTACAAGCAGGTTCTTGTAGGTAAGCAGCATGGTGCAGCTATCCTAGCTCACTGCCAATTTATGAGATTTCTCCTCCTTGGCATTACGCTGTAGGATAAGTTCTGGAATGCTAACCACAAGTTCAGACCTACCAGTCACTGTCAGAAACCCTATACAGGGTTGCTATGGTACGGAATCTATCGGCATTTAACTGCAGAGGGCAGAGGTCCTCTAGTGCCTCCTAGTGGAGGAATGTGGAGAAGGCAGATCTGTCTTCCCACACACATCATCCTGTGTGGCCCTCTGATGGCTAGTTTTCTCCAGTCCTTAGAATGATGAGAACTTTCTGCCTCAAGACCTTTGCACAAGCGGATCCCTCTGCTCAGCAAACTCTTATTCATCCTTTAAAATCAGTTCAAATGTGACTTCTTTCAGGAAGTCTTCCTAGAGTGAATCAGGGACCTTTATTCTGAGCTCTCCTCAAAGCTTCCAGGGATTTCTTTTCTCTGGACATTGATTAAGTGTGATCTCTATCGGCTCCCCGCCACCCCCCCACCCCCCCACCGGAATTGCTAGCTTTGCTAGGAGTGAGTGACAGAGTAAAAACTAAATGGAGCTGGATTTGTAGAGGCAAGAATAAGGGCCCCTAGGAACCTGTTGATAGTCCCATGAGGCCAAAGGCCATTGACAGGCAAGAGAACAGCCAAGAGAGTGGCACCAAGGTTAAACATCAACTGGCATACAGCAGGTACTCAATTAGTTGACTTTTGAAAACGATTGTTTTAATACTTAGCATTAAGCCAACATATAAAAGTCTCACTGAATTTTGCTGACAGTGAACCCACATGTTGTATCTGCCAAGACTTATTTAAGTCGTAGGCTATATTAACAGAGGGAATGCCTTTGGAACTGGGGAGGTGAGCCTGTGTTCAGGAGATGAGCATTTTGTCCCTGGAGGGATTGGCAGGTTCCCCTTTGAAGGTCTCTGACAGATGGGCACGTTTCAAGAGGATTTGGCTCCTCCACATTAGGAATGCCTGGGAGAAAGAGGCCAGTTATTGGGAAAAGGCAAGGAGACTCAAGTATGGGCTTCCTCTGTGTCCTGGGGAGAAGCATGTTCCTGACTCTAAGACAAAGCTGGGACTGTCAGGGGGTCCCATGGTGAATTCTCTGACACTGAAGGGCATCACCGTGAGGGCACTCCTTGCTGAAGCAGCTGAGGAGGAATCCCACATTACTCCTGAGGTCTTTTCCAATGTTTAGAAAGCACAAATCCTGGGATCATGTGGCCTTAAGATTCTAAAATGTCAGAATTCCATACTTGTTCTCAGGCTTTGTGTCCGTGAAGGCAAGATCCTCCTGCCTTAGACCTCAAGGCAGGAAATAAGCTCCTTACCTGACCCTACTGACCTGGAACCCACCTACCTCACCATTCCACATATCTCAGGGGGTCATTTTATCCACATCTTCCATCTCTACACTGCTGCTTCTCTCAGCTTTCCTTCCCCCCGCTCCATCCCCTCCCCAGCCAGGAGATTAGGGTTTGGCACAGAACATAAGGGAGTATCAGCCATAAGAGGGGATGATTCCAAAGCAGCAAATGATCCCTTTTCTTGCCTGTCTGACGGAAGAGGGAATTAACTTTGCAGCAGCTGGATTTTCTCTCTGGTAGTCTTCTCTGAGGCTAGTGTTTGTTAGTCTAACTACTACCCCTAGCCCACCTCACAGTGACAAGTAAAAGAAGGGGAAGAGCTTAGGATCCCACCCTGCTATGGATAACCCTCTCCCAGAGAACTGAGTTTGAAGAGCAATCCTGCTATGTAAAATCAGGGCCCATACTTTCAAAGAAGACATCAAATGTCACTGCCCTACCTCAGAATGGTCCAGCGTACCCTCCCACATGGCCCCAACCCATCGTGCCCCCAAGTCAGCAGGAAAGACACAGCACCACTTACAAGAGCAGAGTACTGGAGATTATTGCAGACTTTATAGAAAACAGCCCAAGGGAGAGCCAGATGTTTTTTTTTCAGGGGGTGTGGGAGAAGGCAGGCCTCAAGCCAATATGTTAAAAGGGTGACTTTCTGTGTGCAGAGGCAGCACAAGCCAGTCATTCTGCCTGACCTAGGGGTGGAAAGTTAGGGAGAGACAGTCCCTCCCTACTCACCAATTGTGCTTTGGGATCATGCAGAAGGCAGGGCGCTGAGGCGTTGACCCTAGACCGGAGAACATGTGCCTGAGACAGAAGGCAAGACTCCCTTCCTCTTTCAGAAAGTACACAGGAGGGACAAGAAATGCCCAGGGGAGAAGAGCCACAGTGAGTGGGATAGAGGGTGGATATTAGTAGGCAGCATCTCCCAGCCCTTCAGAGATCCTTCCCCACTCCACTCAAGAGTCCAAGATGAATACGTGACCCTGGATCTGAGGCCCAACTATCCACATTGCACCCCCAGGCCCTTTATCCTCCCCAGGAAGATTTGCTAGTATGGGTTAGGGGTGCTTGGCACCCTTCTTGCAGAACTGGAGAGCTTATCCTGGGAGGGAAGGGGAATGGGCACATCCCAGGGGTGGGATTCTTCACTGGACCTTGTTAAGTGGCAAGGGTGGGAACTGAATATAAGTGGTGGGAGTCGGGAAACTAAGTCTTGGGCAGGTGAATGAATCTCAGATTTGGTTGAAGAGCTGAGAATTTGAGACTGGGTGCAAGCACTAAGAACTGAGAGAACTCAGCCCTGGTGGCTTAGTTCCACACTAAGGCTAGAATGGGGTGCACCTATCTCTGGGATGGAAGATGACACCTGAACCAGAGCTGGGGTGATGGGGGGGGAGGGGGGGAGGGATGAAATACATCCTCAGAGTCCCACAATGTGCGTCTCCATGGAGGATGGAGGGCCTAGGTCTCTGGCATTTGGGGTCAATGGTTCAAGGTGACAAAACCCTTTTGATGGGGGTGCTCTGCTTGAGAGATCAGAAGACTTTGTGAGGGTCTCCGAGCCCTGGGAGGGGATTTTAGCGCTCCTGGCTAGAGACAGGCAGAGAGTGTTGAGGGTCAATGTTTCCAGTTGGAGAGATCAGGGTTCAAAGCAGAGGTTGGTGGAAGCAGTCCAAGAGATTCCTGTTTGAAGAACAGGGTCCCTGGGTAAGTCTCAAAAGGAGGAGGTTGTCCATGGTCCAGGAGGGATATGTCAGAGCCTATATGGAAGGATGGGGTTTCTGAAATCAACAGAAGTGTCTTAGGGTCTATGATGGTAGAAGCTTACAAAGTTTGGGAAGAAGGGGACAGCTTGGAGCCTTTGGGTGGGAGAATGCCATGATCCAAAGGTCTCAGGCCGACCAGGGGCAGGTCTCAGAGCCTCAAGACAGCGTTTGTCTCAAACCCACGACTTCAGGTCTGGCAGGGCAGGCCAGGCAGCCCCAGTAAGGCTGGCAGGGGCAGTCCCTAGTCCCCAATAGGCGAGACTCAGAGGCCTGAGCCTGGGGAGGTGGCTCTGGAGCTGGCGGGGACAGCTGGGGCGGGAACACGGCGCGGGTCAGCATCCTGCTCGTAGCGGTAATGGTATCCCTCCATCTGGTCCCTGCAGGCCTCGCGCAAGTTGCGCATCCAGCGTTGTATGCCACGGCGGTTTAGGTAGAGCACCATGAGGAAGATGAGGCCGATAAGCGCCAGCACTAGCCCGAAGAAGACGTAGGAGGCTTCTAGCTCCGGGCCTGCGAGTTCCTCTTCTTCCCCGCGACCGTCAACGTTGCCATCCGTGCAACGCGTCCATGCCTCGTCCAGGTCCAGGACAGACCGATTGAGCAGCGACCGCGGGGCGGCGCACCTTAGTCGCCGCGCGTCGGGTATCCGCTCCGTGGCGTTGCGTAGCCAGGCCAGCAGAGGGCGCGCAGCACAACCGCAGCGCAGTGGGTTGTCTGCGAGTAAGAGGCGCGGCCCGGGGAGGTCGCCATCGCGCTCCAGCGCTCGAAGCTCGTCGGTGCCCAAGCCAGTAAGCGCGTTACGGCGCGCGTCCAGCAACTCGAGGCTCGGCAGGCGCAGCGCGGCGGGTGGCAGGAGGCTCAGTGCGTTGCCCATTAAGCCCAGAAGCCGCAGGTCAGCAAGCGGGGCCAGCGCGTCGTCCAGCTTCTCCAGCAGCGCGGAACCGCCCTGCGCCAGCGCTTGGTTGAGTTGCAGCGAGCGCAGAGCCGGCAGTCCGCGGAAGGCACCGCCACCCAGGGCGCGCAACGGGTTCTGACTTAGGTCGAGCGCCGCCAGACTAGGCAGTCCGTCGAAGGCGCCGTCCTCTACCACCTCGATATTGTTTTGTGTGAGGCGCAGCGCGGTCAGCGCCGGTAGGCGCACGACTGTCTCCTTCTCCCCGTCCGCGTCCGCGAAGGCGGCAGCGCGCAGCACGGTCAGGTTGGCGCCCACGATGGTGAGGTTGCGCGCGTCGGGTGGCACGTCCCGCGGCGGTTGCCGGAGCTCTGCGCCTGAAGCGCAGCGCAGTAGCAGTTTGGGGCCGGCGAAACAGTAGCACTGGAAAGGACAGGGTGCGGCGGGCGGGCTCAGTGCCGCCGCCACGAGCAGCAACCCCGGTAGCAGCGGCCCCCTACCCCTCTGTTGTCCCGCGCGCGGGGCCATCGCAGCCGCCCCCACATTCAGCGCCGGGGCAGCGAGCTCACCAGTGAGTTGGGAGCACCTCGTGGAGGTACGGGTGGGACAGCGGAGAGGCTGGCAATCTGGTTTGGCTTGTGCGCGTCTTTAAAGTCCAAGGGGCCTTTGGTTTCCAAGCAGAGGGCTCAAGGGATCAGGCGGGGAGCAGAGCCCCCCGCCCCCGGTGCCCTCCTCACCCTGAGCGCCGGCCTCCGACTTCCGCGGCCGTTCCGGGCTCGGAGCCGAGTGGGCAGGGTTTGCCATCCGCCCCCCCCCCTCCCCGCCTCCCGGCCTCCTCCTCCGCCCCCATCGGAGTCTCCGCGCCCTCCTTGCTTCGGGAGGCGGGGTGGGAGGCTCCTGAGAATCTGGGCTTTGGGCTTTGGAGCGTTCTCTTCCCCTTGCGACTCCGACTCCGGGGCTGCAGAGAACTTTGGCTCCCCCTCTTCTGCCCCACCCCCACGTTAAAGCTAGTTCTTACCATCTCCGTATACAGCATGTGTGGAGTAGGCAGGGCAGGTAGGTAAGAATCTATGTGAAGACTTTAGAGACCCATATCCCACCCCACTCCACTCTACTCCCCAGTGGAAGCAGGGATGGAGTGAACTGGGAAAGCCACTCCTTTTCAGCGCCTTCCCAATCTCCGTGATCAAGGAGAGGACTTTGCAAGGAGAAAGGCCTGAAATTTTCCAGTCCGGGTCCCTCCTTTGTGACCCCAGTTCCATTAGGCCCGTTTATGTCACTACGCCTGCAGGTTTCAGCATTTTCTCAACATTTTCAACCCTATCCCATCCCGGAGGAAGTCTTCTCCAGACTTCTCCCCTCACCCCCCAATTCAGGGCTGCCCTGCTCTTGTTTCTTCCACCTGGCTGGACACCTCCCCCAAGCACCCCTAGGCACAGGACCAGGTTAGTATAGTGATTCAGCTGTTTGCTTTGCTCTCTTTGCTCTGAAACCTGGGCACCCCACTATGCTTTCCTCCTGTGTATGAGAATCCTGGGGTCCCATGGACACCATCAGCCTGCCCCTCCTCATCTCCAAGCTACCCCTCCGAAATAGGATGTGAGGGTTCGGAACTCTAGAGGTTGGGGAAACTGAAGTGGATTTTGTGGATTTTGATGCTGGAGTGGGGGCTGAGTTGTTTATACGTTTGTTTTGTTCTGGGTTCTCCCCCCCCCCCCCCCCAGAACTGGGAAGTTCTGGACCTGATTTAAAGAGACAGTCTCTTGAGAAGGGAGAACTCCTGGCCTTGGAATGAATTATTCAGGCTGGAGAGGTTGACACTTGATCCTCTGGCCATTTGGATGTCAGCAGAGGGATAGAGATTCTCCCCTCCCCCCAAGAATCAGTCTCTTTCTCCTGAATTGGAACTCCTTCCCTGAGGTTATATTTAACAGATCAACCCAGGAATCAATTCCACTTAAGGAGAAAAGAGACCCTGCTGTGGCCTGGGTCTCAAGCAAGGATCAACAGTGACGGCTGTTGATGTTAGTCCCGGCCCCCTCTCCCCCCATCTTTTTCTCACTCTTCCCTATTCCAATTACAGCATCCCTAGGTATTGGTAAATGAGAACAGTAACTTGCATACGTAGAATTGGGCATGTGTGTACATGTGCACATATAAGATTGTACAAGTTGTTGTTGTTAAGTGCCATCGAGTCGGTTCAGATTGTACAAGTACATGTGGCTTATTCAGGCAGAAGCACACTTGACACATAAACAGACCTAGGTGTTTTCATAAAGGAGTTAACAAGGATTCACGTATACTTAGATGTGTATACGTATGCATAGGAAGGATTGTGCCAGTTTGTGGTACCAGGCAGGCTCTGACATATGAATGTGTTCAATCATACATGTGCACATATGAATGCAGGTTTGGGTCTGCTTGGTATGTGTCCATAAACTCATATGCACATACATAATTGAACATATTCTCTAGGGGTCCATGCAGGTTTCTGGGTGCAGTCTCAGAGAGGCAAGCACATGCATCCAGAGACTGGCCAATACACTGTGAGCCCATTCCTTCCTACCTTCCACCATGCCCTTGGTCTGTGGAGGTAGCTAGCTGGTGGTGTCCTTCTCACTGGGTCCAGGTGCTTGAGTTGATGCACTTGGGACTGGGCCCTCAGCTGTTGCACACCCCCAAGCCTGGGACCTTCTCAGCTACAACTCCTAGTTCCAAATACTGTTGTTTCACTATTGTGTTTCCAGTAAAGGGACTAGCACATACAGTGCTCAGCAAATATTTGTAGATGAGTAAATGAATGAATGAACAGAGAGGTCTCGACTCTTTTCCACTGCATAGAAAGAACTCCTTCTACCTTCAATCCTTAAAGAACCATACACCAGCGGCTATGTCCACAGTCCCCTTTCCAGAGCCCCATGGTGGCTGATCCCTGATTGACTGATGGTCTCACTGCAGCAGGGCCTTCAGGGCAGCAGGCAACCTTGAGTAGGAGTTGCTGGACTCCTCATTTGGTAAAAAGAAGCCTAGAAAGAACCTAGAATCCACAGATGGCCAAGACAAGGCAATGCCTATTTTGTACATATCTGTATTTTATTGACTATGCAAAGACATTCAACTGTGTGGATCGTATCAAATTATGGGTAGCATTTGGAAGAATGGAAATTCCAGAACACTTGATTGTATTCATGGAGAACGCTGTCATAGACCAAGAGCAGTTGTTCGAACAGAACAAGGGAATACTAACAAGTGTGGCCCTGTAGGATAAGCACTGGGTTGCTAGTTTCAAAGTCAGCCATTCAAACCCACCAGCTGTTCCTCCGAAACCCTATACAGGATTGCTGTGAGTCGGAACTGACTCGATGGCACTTAATGACAACAATAACATTCAATCCGTATGCAGAGCAAATAATCTGAGAAACTGAATTATGTGAAAAAACCCTGAAGTACCAGGGATGGAGGCACCAGGAATGCAGAAAGATTCATTAACAACTCTGTGATATGCAAATGATACAGCATGGCTTGCTGAAAGTGAAGAGGACTTAAAGCACTTATTTATTTTTAAACTTTTTATTGTGAATTGAGTGAACGTTTACAGAGCAGAACGTAAGTTTTACAGTCAACAAATCATATTCTTTGCTTCATTACAATGTCTGCGATAGTTAACAGTATTTAACTCTATTAACTTTTAACTATTGTTGTTGTTAAGTGCCGTCGAGTCGATCCTGACCCATAGTGACCCTGTGTAGGGTTTCCGAAGAGCAGCTGGTGAGCTTGAACCACCAACCTTACATTTCAAACGGTTTTTTAACTATTGTATTCCTCCCTTAGTCTCCTGCTACCTTCGTCTTTCCTCTGTTAACCACCTCCTTCTTGTTGTATATTGCCTACCTTATCACTCATGTTAACTTGTGTCTAGCCTGTGAATAATTTTCCCTCCCCCTGTAGCCATCATAGGCTGTTTTATTTTTTTATTTTTTTATTAAGAAAACATTTTCTTAACATTTTACAATATTGGTCTCATACAATATTTGTCCTTATGTGATTGACTAATTTCACTCAGCATAATGTTCTTTTCGAGTCCTGGTGTGGTGCTGTGGGTTATTGTTCTGGACTGCAAAGTCGGTTTGAACCTCAAGGTCGGTGGTGTAAGCTCACCAGCTGCTCCTCGGAAACCTTATACAGGGTTGCTATGAGTCAGAATCGACTCGATGGCACATAACAACAGCAACAGCAGTGTTCTCTGGGTTCATCCATGTTGTGAGGTGTTTTGCAGATTCATCTTTGTTTTTCAATAATGCATAGTAGTCTGTTGTGTGTATATACTAGAGTTTGTTTAACCATTCTTCTGTTGAGCATTTAGGCTGCCTCCATCTTTTTGCTATGTCTCTTGTAGGCAGCTTATTGAAGGATCCTGTTTTCGTATCCATTCTGCTCTCTATGTCTCTTGACAGGTACATCTAATCCATTTACATTCAGTGTAATTATCAATAGGTATGTTGTCGTTTTTCTGTGTGTGTCTTTGTGTGGTGCTGCTGCTTTCTTTGTTCCACAGAATTTTCTATTCTGAGTTCATTTTGTTTGTGGGTTTTCTTGTCATTTTCATTTATGTTGTGTTCATGTTTACGGAATCCTTCTGATTTTTCTCTTTTTAAAATTTTGTTATGTATTAATTTTCTTTGAGGTTACCTTTGCAATGTATCAACCCTTTTGCCCCCCATTCAAAACAGTCTGTTTTCTCTTGATAGCTACTTGATTTCCTTGCCATTTGGAAATTTGGTATCTCTACTATTCCCTCTTTTTGCTTTGTAGTTGACTTCATTATATATTGATATCTCTGGCTCTCTATTTCCAGTCTTGTAGGTTTGTTTTATTTTATATGTAGAGAATTACTTCTATAATGTCCTGGCGTAGCACTGTTGGATAAACAAGGTTTAAATCTACCAGCTGCTCCTTGGAAACGCTAAACAGAGTCGCTATGAGTCACAATTGACTGGATGGCACTTAACAATAACAATGAGTGGAAAGACATGGAGCAAATGCCAAGCATAGAGCAAGATAGTGTTAGAACAAGTCGGCACCTTTGACAACTTGAAAACCTAAAGCCAGACAGAGGTCATCTAGGTCATGAGCTCTAAGAACTGACTTGATGTCACTTAACAACAACACACCACTGGTCGGTTTGAACTGCAAGGTTGGCAGTTCAAGCTTACCAGCTGCTCCTCGGAAACCCTATACAGGGTCACTATGGGTTGGAACCAACTCGACAGCATTTAACAACAACATACATAGATTGAGTTCTAGGTGGTGTTGTCATGTACGGTAATCTCAGGTTATTGTCTGTTGTTTCTTAGTCCAAAGAACACTCTTTACCATTTTTTGTAGAGTTGGTCTGGTCATTACAAATTCCTTTAACTTCTGTTTATCTGGAAATGTCCTAATCTAACTGTCAAATTTGAGAGACAACTTTGATGGGAATATGACTCCTGATTGGCATTTTTTTTTTCTTTCAGAGTTTTATAAAAGTT